GCAACACCCTGAGCCTCCAGAACTGTGCGGAAATGTATTTCTCTTGCCCATGCCTACCTAGTCTGTGGCTTGTCATGGCTGGCCCTAGCAAACTCTTCCCAATAGGCCTTCAGATCCCAGCAGGGAAGTTCCTTGATTTGGTGAGTCCTGCTCACTGAGAGTGACATTTCTCGAAGTCCATTCATTTCACCAGATCCCTTTACAGCCAGGTAGTGTGGATGTGCAGTTGTGCTCTGGTGATCTGCGGCATGGTTTTAGAGAGAGCAGGGGTGTGGGGCTTGGTTGGAGGGATGGAGGTTGCGGATAGAGACACATCGTTATGATTGTGACCCTCTAGAAATCTTTGAGCAGGGAAAGAAAGACTGTGGAGCTTGTGCCCTTTTAACTCATTTGGAACTTGTTTCTGTTCTGCTTGGGTTGAATGAACAAGTGATTTGTCTAAGTGATCTGACTCCGTTCAAATGCTTCCCAGTAGCCCTCCCTATGTATCAAACTTAAATGCTTCAACCCTATTTTTCTTCTTAAAAATGAAAGGAGCTCCTTCTAGCTCATCCATTAAAGTAGATTAAGTCCTGTGCATGCAAGACGTTCTCTCTGGGCTCTGCAGATATCCAGCCAACTGGAACCCGGAGAGGTTCTCGCAGGCCCCATGTTCTCACGGGCCAGCTTGGCTGTGATGTGACCGATGTCCTGTTCCGTCCCTGCTAGAGTTCTACCAGATGGGCTAATTCAGGCCAGTCTGATGTTTCTAGACCTGCATCTTCTAAAACCACATGCTCAGTTGGCTCAAATTGGTGCTTGTATTTGATACTTTCCACAGAAATGCCAAAAACAGAAGAGAGATGTTTTAAAACAGTGCGTAAAATTGGCAACTACGTTGCCAGAGCATGGTTTTGTCCTGAGGTGTTTGCACAGTGTAGGCGGGTTCTTGGCAGAATTGGCAATGGTGAATGATCTCAGGGGTGGTTCTCCCGAGGCGGTGGGGAGGCCGAAAGGGCACAGGGTGGCAGGTGCACGAGTGGGCGCACAGCAGCCCTGGGAATCCCTCTAGAATCCCCTCATTCACTCGGTGTCTCATGCAATATAACTATTTCGAATCTTCCTCCACTTGCTTCAATCTACCAACTCTCATTTTTTACAGGGGAAATAGAAGGCATCACAAAGGAACTTTCATATCTTCCCAGCACAGAAATATGAACGTGCTTCCATTTGTCATTAGCCTTTCTGTCTTTCTCCCTCCCCGCAATGGGGGAGCTCTTCTTTCTAGCCCCAGCCCTCTGTTTTAGAGCTGCCTTCTCAGGTCTTTAGGACATGTTATCTCTTCTTGCTCATAGTCTCAGGTCCCTTTTTGAAAGCAACCAGGACTTTCCTGTTAAAAACAAATAAACAGTGCCCTTATTTGTTTTTTTTTAACCCCCTGTACTCCTAGCCCTTGTCTTTCTCCTTCTTTATAACCAAGCTTCTTGAAAAAGCCCTTCATCAATTAAGAATTGATGGATAAGTTACAAAATAGACAAGGGGGTACAAAGTACAGCATAAGGAATGTACTCAATAATATTGCAATAAATATGTATGGTGCCAGGTGGGTACAGGAAATATCAAGGGAATCACTTTGCAAAGTATATGATTGTCTAACCATATTTATATATATGATTTTTTTTTAAAGAAAAAACCCTTCATCCTTCCTGCCTCTTCACTGCCCACCAGACTTTCAGACTCATCATCACTGAGTCAACTGACCAGCAGATGTTCTAGTTGTCATCTTATATGACCTTTCAACAGTTCTTGATACTCTTCCTCCTGGAGCACCGTCTTCCCGTGGCTTACACGACACAAATCTCTTCTGTTTTCTTCCCTTCCTCACCGCCCACCTGGCTGCCCCGTGGTGGAGGCATCATCAGTGCGCGTGCATTCCATCCTCTGGACTCGGGCGATCTCGTCCCCCATGGAGTCAGCGTGGTGGCAGCTTCCAAGTGGGAGATACCCTGCCCAGACCTCCTGAGCTCTGGACGAGTGTCCCACCATTTCCATACTGTCTTCCTCGTGGAATCCGAGGGCACCAGCCCACAGCAGAACTCTTGTTATTATTCTGGTCATTGTCTCTTTCCTCAGCTACCATATCCAGTCCATCAGTGAATCCCACTGGATTTCATCTCAGATTTGTCTTAAATGCCCCCACTGTCCCCCAGTTGTACTTCTGCCCTCCTGCTCCAGAACAACCATCCTCTGTCACCTGGACGATTGCAGCAGGTCAGCCTGCGTTCCCTCTGTCTGTTCTCACACTGCTGGACTAACGTCTCTAAAGTTCCCATCAGGTGGCATCAGCCCCATGCTTAAACCCTTCGCATTGTTCTTAGGATGAGGATGAAGAATCTTAATTTGGCTTCTGTGGATCTGACCCCTTCCTGAGCACCAGCCTTGCTCTGTAGGCATGTTGGTTTCCTTTCATCTCAGGCATCTAGACACGTGTTTTATCTGTTCTTCTTACTCTTTCCCCTTCAGATCTCAGCACAGTGTCATGTTCATGTCACATCTCTGGTTCCTTCTACCTCCACTTCTCCTTTGACTGGTCAGACTTCTCTATCCCTGACACTCTGAGGCCTCGGGCCTCTCCTTAATTTTTCATTCATTTGTCTCAGCTTCTTCATTTTTGTTGGGAAGGTTTTTTGATTCCTCTCTGTCTTCCTCACTTGACCATAAACTCCATGAAGTAGGGACCATGAGAGGTTTTCTCATTGAATTCCCAGTGCCTAGCATAAGGACACAGTCATATTTTGTTGAATTAATAAAAAAGTTTTAAGAATGGGGTTTAAGCCTTGGCTCAGTGGTTAGAGTGTCGGCTTGTGCACTGAAGGGTTTCGGGATGGATTTCTGGCCAAGGGCATGTACCTGGGTTGCAGGTTCGATTCCCAGCCCTGGTCGAGGTGTGCAATAGGCAACCAGTCAGTGTGTCTCTCTCACATCGATGTTTTTCTTTCTCTTCTCTCTCTCGTGTGCTCTCTCCCTCTCTCTCTTTCACTTTCTCCCCCCAAAAAAGTCAATGGAAAAATATCCTCGGGTGAAGATTAATATAAAATAAAATAAAAAAGAACAGAGTTTAAGTTCCAACTTTGGGCATCTTTCTCGGAATCTGTTTTCTTATCAAGTGAAGATACATTTGCCACCTCATCTTTCCTTTAGGGTTCTTAGGAGGAAAATAATATATCTGGCAAATGAAAAGTGCTGTTTTGAGTGATTATTCTCTCATTTTTAGGTTGAAGTTTATAGGTGTGACAGTAGAGATGATCCTAAATCAACTAATGCCACTATTCTTTTCTCTTATATGATAGTGATAAAGGATGAGGAATACAGAATGAGAGTTTCATTATGAAATTTTATTTATTTGAAAAGGTGATGGGGAAGTTTAATGTGAATAGGTAGGAACTTCATTTCTTTTCATTATGAGAATTCTTAGCACTTATTTAAGTTAATTTGGATTCTACAAAAAGCAGAAAACGAGAAATCACCCGAACCTCCCAAACATATTTTCCCACATTCATAAGTATTTATCAAGAACATAATTTTTAATTTATGCATGGTAATGTTGTATAGATGTATATACCATTTTACTTATTTATTTTAGGTTATTGTAAATTTTTTACTGTTGTAAAAAATGCTGATAGCATTCCTTGTACATAAATTGTTTTGTGCATAAATCTAATTTCCCAAAGTTGAATTACTGGATGAAAGAGTATATGCAGGAATACTTTTTAGGCTTTAGATAATTACTTCCTAATTAGTCTCCAGAAATGTACCAATCATCCACCGATAGAGATAGAGTAAGACAGCGTGTTATCTTGCTGTACCTTTGGGTGTTATAAATACACGCATGCACGTACATTGTAGTGCAAATTACTCCTGAATTTGAACGTTTTCTCATTAGCCATTGTCATTTTTCCTTTGTTAGTTAACTGTTGTTCTTTGCATAGTTTTGCGATGTTCTCTTTTTCAAAGTCACTTATAAAACCATTTTTACATTAAGCACATTAACCTTGTTTTTGTCATATATGTAAATATGAGCTTCAGTCAAACCCTTTTCAAACGGCCACAAATTCAAGGGCAGCTAGTCTCTCTCTGTCTCAGAAAATGTTGCCACTCAAACTGCATGCTAAGGCAAGTGTGTGTGAACAGAGTGCCCTTTGAAGTTGGGCAGGGCTTATGTCAGTCCTGGCTCTGCCACTCGGGAGCTGAGAGACCTGGGACTAAGTTATTGAGCCTCTCCAAGTCTCAGGTTTCTCTCTGGGGTAACAGGAATCCTTCTGGCCAAGGTAAATAGCTTCTGGTGCAGTGGTGGTATTCTATAAATAGTCACTCCCTTTCCGTAGTCCTCAAAGCTGTGCTCTCTGTACATACATGCACATACATGCATTTTGTTTCATTAAGGAGCATGCATAGCTCATTCAGCTCGTAGGCTGACATGCAGTCATAAACTAATATTTGTTGACTAGCTAACTGTGACCAAAGTACAAATGAGAGTAGAGAAATTCTTAGTTTACTGAGTCTAGGAGAGATTTAAAATTGAACCTTAGGGATAATATTAGCAAATTCAGATCTGTTCTATAAAAGTGGTAGACGAGCCCTGGCTGGTTTGGCTCAGCAATTAGAGCATCAGCCCGAGGACTAAGGGGTCTCAGGTTCAATTCTGGTCAAGGGCAAGCACCTGGGTTGCAGGTTCAATCCCTGGTCCCTGTCGGGGTCGTGCAGGAGGCAGTCAATCCATGTGTCTCTCTCACATCAATGTTTCTTCCCCCATCCCTTCCACTCTCTCCAAAAATCAAAGGAAAAAATATCCTCTGGTGAGGATTAACAACAACAACAAAAGTGGCAGATCATGTAAGATACGAAATTCTAGAGAAAAAGGGACAGCCTCAAGTATACAAATTTTATTTTAAACAGCTCCAAATAAAGTCTCAAAATACATTCTTTCATTGTGTCTCAATCTGTTCTTTTTTTCTTTGTAGGTGTGGCTGGATCTCTTAAAACCTATTGTCAAGCAGATTAGAAGTAAGTACATACTACATGTTTAACAGTGATGTTAAATACAGAGCCAGACCCCATGGCCTCGTCTCGACATTGGCTGTCCGGTGGCAGCAAGCACTTAGTGATACAGAGAGTTTTTCACCCCATGATTGCTTTCCGTCATCCACTAATCCACATACTAGTAAAATGTATGTTCTGCGATTTTAATATGTAATAATTTGGTAATCAAAACCTTGCTTAGAAAATCAAGCATCATTTTGATTACCAACTGAACCATGCTATTAAGACCAGAATAATTGAGCTTGCCTTGTGTGTGCTGTTCTTTCTTCCTGTCACGTTTGAAGGGGGAAGGTGGAGCCAGTTATTCATAAAATTGGTGTAAGGTTTTCTGCCCTGTCTCTTCAAAGCCTGTGAAATCGGAATGCAAGTGTGGTTTGGACAAATAAGGTGCATGTGTGTGTGTGTGTTTGAATTTCTGATGGCAAGCAGAACTGAAGGGAGTCTGGCTGGCATTTAGACCGTGTGTTGAAGAAAAGATTAAGGAGGGCCAAGGAGAGGAGAAAGGAAAGATAACACTTGGGTTTTTTCTCCCTTCTCATCAGGCTTCAGCACTGGACCTTCCTCCCCTCTCTCTGCTTTAAGGTCAAGTTCAGAGCCAAACTCTGTTCTCTCAAAGTCATGGGCAGAGTCTGAGGATGGTGACAAAACTGTGTTTCTTTAGCTGAGCCTGCAGCACACACTCCCTTGTGGGATCGCTTTTCTGCCTAAGAAACCCCACCGAGCTCCTGACAGCAGTTTATGTGCATGTAATAAACAGGCCCTATGCAATTGAAATTGATTGAGCTGTCATTTAAATTAAGCAATTATTGATGCTAAAAATGAAATAGTCATTGTTTGTTTAACGTTTATGGGTGGTTGGCCAGTGACCAAGTGGGGTTTGGGGAGATACATGACAGAGAGAAGCCCCCAGGCCTGGTCGGGGGGGTTACAGAGTCTAGAGTCTAGAATGATGACGTCCCTGCAAAGACTAGTGACAGGAACTGCTGGTGGTGGAAAGGACTCTCTTAGCACATTAGCAAATGCAGACGAAGACATCTCCGCGTGCTGTGACAAAGCGGTCGTTTTTACTTGGTGCTAGCATCTACTTCACCTCAGGTTCTCTAAGGCTCCAAGTACCCTCATTTAATTCCCTTGTCTGTGAAAATAACTGAGAGGAAGTAGCTATTGTTACTTTGTGACCCAGAATTGACGTGAGGATTTTTGTTAATTTTTAGCCTGATTGGGGAAAAGCACAGTTTCTTGGCTTCAGTATTTCTGTGCCTTGTGTTCTTCCTCCTAACTTTGTGTATATTGGCGACATCTTCGCCTTATGATATGTCATTTTCGTTTTTTTCCTAAACTTGAATGTGCTCGCATGGAAATCATGATACAACATCTATTTTTGGTATAGTGAAAGGTAGAGCAAGGAGATATTTTCTGCTTTTGTACAAGACTTGAAATTAGGATTTCATTATAGTGCCTTGTATTTCATAGAACATAAAACTCTTCTTCCAGACGGCAGAACCTGTATGGTTGCCTTTATGTTGTAGCTTATACATCAGACAAACTCTGACTCAGATTACAGGTTATTATTCCATCATCTGTTTTTTCTGTTTAAATTCTGAAAACAAAATGTATCCATCTCCTTCAGAATCTCTCCCTGACCACCCCCTCCCAACTTCTGATTTTGTCTGAACTCCTTGAAAAGATGGTTTATAAGATCCTCAAAAGGCTGTGGCCGACTTGGCAGGCGCAGGGCCTCTCCTGTCCAGGTTTCTCTCCAGATCTCAGGAGAGCAACTGGCATATAGGTGCTAGATACGTGTTTGATGCACACGTTAGCAGCTCCACCTTGTAGATAGTTAAAAACACTAAATTACGTGATTTACGTTTTCATTAACTACTTTTAAAATGATCTAAAACTGGTACTTGGGACTAAAGCAGCTAATTCGACAAATTTTTGTGGCGAGGTGCCCTTTAAACCTGAGTACAATTGAAGTCTCCAGAGAAAAAGTTTAATACCTCCGTGTAATACCTTTGCTGAGTTTACAAACAAAAACAAAGAACAGGTATCTGTTTCCCCACAGTGTGAAAATGTGATTTGGTAACCGAACTTAACCAGTTGTTCAGTGATTTGGGTGTTGGCAGGTGTACTCTTGGCCACTTGGAATGAGACTCATTATTTGGGATATAATATACCCACAAATATCTTTTTTGTTAATTGCATTTGAAACAGAAATCAATAACTGCTTTACTACCTTTTTTTTCTTCTTCTTCTTTAGGGCCAAAGCATGTTGTTGTTAGGTTTGTGGTGAAATTCTTTCCACCTGACCACACACAACTCCAAGAAGAACTCACGAGGTTAGTGGTTTGGCTGTTTATATTGCTGTGGGGTGCCGAGGAGAAGAGAAAGTTAATGTTCTAAGTCACTGTGATAACATTTTCTCAATGTCTACTTAACCAGCATCCACTCTGTGCTTAACAGTTGAACTCCCTCTCTTCCAGTTATGCTTACAAACTTGGGGTGTAAGAAAGTACCACGTTTTCCCCAAAGCCTGGTTTCTGCGCGTGACCTTAGCCAAAGGGCAGAGCAGTGATGAGTCTGGTTTCTTTAAGGCTGTGATATGAAGTGGGTTGGACTTACCCTGTTACTGCCATATTTTCCCTCTTTATCTGTCGCCTCACAAGATGGTTTTGGAAAATGAATCTCCCCTGTGAAACCATGTTAACTCTGAGCTTCTCTTAATTGTTCTCATGGGAGGGTGGACATGAGCTGGAGGTCAGGTGCTTTGGCAGCTTGGCCAAGTGGGAGAGGCGTGAGCATCTGGTCAGTCCTGCCTTTGATAGCTGTGTGACTGGCCAGTTACTTGTTCCTCCTGCACCCGTCTCAGTTCCTCTGTGTCATTGTGACTGTAAGGCTGGCTTGGCCATGGTTGTTCTGAGGATTAGCTCTTACACACAGAATCCCTGGAACCCAGGAGGGACACTGTGAATGATCACCATCACCATTGTCACCGCCATCACTACTTCAGCTTATTTTCTAATTTGTGGCAAGACACATGGGTTTCTAAAAGAGATCAGCCTGGCCGGTGTGGCTCAGTGGTTGAGCATCAACCCTTGCCACAAGAGGTTGCCAGTTTGATTCCCGGTCAGGGCACAAGCCTGGGTTGTGGGTCTGACCCCAGTGTAGGGCATGCCGGGGGCCCCCAGTTGATGTTCTGTCATCGATGTTTCGATCTCTCTCTCCCTCTTCTTCCTGTTTCTAAAATCAATAAAGAAAAAAAAAAAACTAAAAGAGATCAGAGCCCAGTAGGAACATGTGAGGACAACATGTGCCCTCTGAGGATTCTCGTCTGTCCAGCCAGATTCTTGCCACACTGCCCCTCAAGCCACACTGCCCCTCAGGCCACACTGCCCCTCAAGCCATAGCTGTTTCAGACCAAGGCTGTCTCATATTTCTCACTCTCTCGTCCCTGGTACAGAGCACAGTGTTTGGGTGGTTGACCATCATTTATGAAAGGGATGGAGACATTCGGTCAGAAGTATTTATGAAGTGTGTACACTGTGCCCTAGCATTACTCGGGGCCCTGGGGATGGAGTAGTGGAAAGACAAGCCTGACTCTCATGGGAACACACAAAATGATTACATAAACAAGAAAAACATCAGGTAATGGTAAGGGCTCTTTAGGTCACTGAGGTAGGATGATGCTGTAGAAGGTGAGGGGTGACGATGTTAGGTTGGTTGGGGTGCCTCGCTGAAAGGAGGGTCTGTCAGTCATTTTCAGAGGGAGCGCTTTCGAGGTGGGCAGTGCCCAGGGCAGGAACAAGTGACAGTGTCCATCATAAAAGTGTGCAGGCACGAACGGCGAGGGCAAAGTGCAGTGAGGTGGGACCGACGCCGAATGTACGGACGGTTGAAAGACGAATTGCCAGGGGATGTTGCGGGGAGGATAACAGTGGGAGCCATCGCCGTCGTCCAGGCCGAGATGATGGCAGCAGAGAGGTGGTGGGCGTGGGAGTCGGAGTGGAGACAGGTGGCTGCATCTGCAGTACTTGCTGGAGGTGGGGTCGATCCATCTTGGTGACGGGTTGGGGATGGAGTCTGAGGGACAGAGGGGATGCTCAGGTCTGACTGAAGCCACTGGCTGGGTGGTGGTGGTGGTGACTAACGTGGGAGTGGGTGGAGGGAAGTGGAAGATTGGGGAGGGGAAGAGAGCAAGAGTTTGCTTCTGCAAGGCTGCATCTGGGATTCCTACTCGACCTTACGTGGATGCTTCAGGAAGGGCATTGTGGATTTCAGCAGTTGCCTCCTGCATGCACCCCAACCGTGGCCGGGGATGGAACCTACAACCCAGGTACATGCCTTGACCAGGAATCTAACCTGAAACCCTTCGGTGCGAGGGCCGACGCTCTAACCACTGTGCCACACCCACCATCAGGGCACCGTGTGCTTTCTGAACAAGTCACCACAACTTGTTTGCCTCCACTCTCAGTCCTCAAATCCATGACGCGGTGAGAGGCCGCTAGGAACTGCAGAGGCACCGGCCTTCTGGGGCCTGTCCACGGTCTGCCAGAACGCTCGCGTGGAGGAGAGGCAGCTGGGGCTACGCCTCCTGCACAAGGCGAGGGGCCGATGACAAGTCTTCGTGGGGAATCATGGGGGCTACTGTGTCTCATTTTCGGGGACCGGCCTTCCTGTCGTGGGGACGTGCATCACTCCAAGCCTAGTATATTGAAATAAATCTAGGGCAAGTCCAGCTGTTGGTCAGCAGGTCCTGCCTCCCACTGGGCCTCTCTCCTGCTTCGGAAACTGGCAGCATAGATCCCTTTTCCCGCTTTTTCTCCCTATTCCATTTGGCAGTGAGTTTTGTACCTTATCAGTTTTTATGGCTCACTGCCTTCAGAGGTTTGTAGTTTTCCACCATTCGGGGCCTCGCTGTAACATTGCATACAGCGTTACCCTCGGGCCGAGTGTGCCTGGTGCCGTGCCAGCTGCTCCGGCCGGGCTGGCAGCTCCCTCACGCTGCACACCCAGCGGCGGGCAGCAGGTTCGGGTTTTGTTTTCTGGCTCTCAGGGTTCACCGACATTTTACAGACCGTTCTTGAAGAGACACTTCTTTGGGCTCAAGGGTGAATAAAATTGATATGAAACTTAGAAGCAGCTCCCCTCACTTTCCACCTTTTCACAAGGTGTAACATGAAGAGGACCTCGCCGATCCAAGGTGCTCACTCCCACACTCTTAGGCAAACACTGAACAGTGTGGCCATTGAGGTCCAGGGACCTTTCTGCAGCAGATGGCAAGTGAGGGAGGACTTAGAAGGTCTGCACGGACAGGGCTGATTTAGGGGAGGGACGGGTGGAGAAGAGCAAGATGGACAGACGGGCCTGGCTCTCCAGTTGGGCTGCCTCTCAGTGACTCTGACCCGGGGTTAATTCTTTGGGGCTCCAGGAACAGCTTTCAGCTTCCCATGGGTGTAGATGGAAGATTACACTGCACTTGGCCGTTAAACAGGAAGCTGAAATCTGTCTATTGATCTAACTGCATTTTCGGTGAAACTCGGTCCTATTGACAGGAGAGAAGCACCAACTCTCGGGTGCATGTTTGAAAAGCGAGGGCGAGCTCTTTGGAAAGGATGTCGCTGGGCTTTCTCATTGCCGAGCTCTGAGTCACTTTTCCGGCGCCAACGCGTTTAGGCACACTTCTGTCACTTTGCCGGTGCCGACACGTTTAGGCACACTTCTGTCACTTTGCCGGTGCCGACACGTTTAGGCACACTTCTGTCACTTTGCCGGTGCCGGCGTGTTTAGGCACACTTCTGTCACTTTGCCGGTGCCGGCGTGTTTAGGCACACTTGTGTCACTTTGCCGGTGCCGGCGTGTTTAGGCACACTTGTGTCACTTTGCCGGGTGCCGACGCGGGTAGGCACACTGCTCTCTGGCCCCCATCGCCAGCCACATCTACTTTCTGCTCGGCAGCGTTCGTACAGGGGAGAGACCCCATCGGAACTTGCTGCAGTGCAGGGTCTGCTGAAGCGTGTCTCCTTCGGCTGCCAGAGAAATTGGACATGACACTGAGGAAGAAAAGAGCAGACCTCCCAGTGGAGTGAATGAAAGTAGACGTGTAAAAGCGGGCAGCGGTGGGGGTGATTGGCAACTCCTGCCGTCCCAGGGAGTGAAGCCCCTCGGACTGTTTCCGCCAGTCATCTTCCCCCTCACATCCTCCCAAGGAGAGTCGATTCCCTTTTGAGTTCTTTGAGTGATTCCCTTGCGTTTACCAGTTAAATTTTAGTTAGTGCCTGCTGGGCACATCTTAGGCTTTAGCTCTTGTGAAGTTGGACGGAAGGTATTGCTGAGTCTCCAGAGTCAGCATTGCAGCCGGCGTGCTCGGCTTACAGCTGTCATCGAGAGGTCAGTGCCCGGGAAGGTCCTTCTCCTCTTACAAGGGCCGTAGGGCAGGAGTCAGCATACTTCGGGTGACAATTTCTTCTGCAGTCTTCGGCGCGTCACCTGTGCTCTGACCAGACACGTGACCTCTCAGGACCCGCTGCCATCCCTCAGCCCACCCGAGACTGGGACCAGAGGCCCCCAGAGCCTGTCGCTCTCAGTCCATTCCCCTGAACACAGGACCCCATGTTGGAACTCGAGATGGTAAAATGTTCAGAATGTAACGTTTGTAAAACCTAAAGCCCTCCTGCTTATTTTTAAATTAACCATATATGTCTCTGGGTCGGTTTTGTTCATCAGCTTATTTTGTTCATTTTATTCCACAAATAAGTGAGATGATGGGGTACTTGTCTTTCTCTGACTGCTTTATTTCACTTAGCATAATACTCTCCAGGTCCCTCCGTGTCATCTCAAAGATGAAGAGATCTTTCTTTCTTACAGCTGCGTAGTATTCCATTGTGTACATGTACCACAGACATGGAAGTGGGGTTCAGACTGACAAACTTCAGAAGAGGGGGTGGGGGGAAATAAACCAAAGAACATATATATATAAGCATAACCAGTGGACATAGACAACAATGGTGGGGGGGACGGGAGGAGGGTGTCAATGGGGAAAAAGGAGAAACATCTGTAACAAAAATTAATTAAATAAAATTAAAAATAACAAATGAGGCGAAAGGCAATGCTTAAACTTAAAAGAAAAACTCTTTCACGGGGAATTCTATGTCCAGTGAAAACAACCTTCAAAGTGAGGACAAAATAAAGAGATTTCCAGATGAAAAGAAGTAAATAAATAAAATTAACCATATATATAGGTGAGAATTGAAGTCTGTAGCTCTAAGAAGTATTGGGTTCGAAAGACAATAACCACTACCTAATACAGAAAGATGGTTTATACTGTTTCTTTTCATATAAACCTATATGTTGATGTATGTTTTTTTATATTCAGTGCTCTTCTTCCCTTGAACTTCCTGAGAGAGAGAGAAGGAGGTGGGGGGTGGGGGGGGAGAACTTGAGAACATAAATAAACATTAGGAGGGTTGGATAAATAAAGGTCAACTGTTAACTGGCAGATCTAAGGGTGATTTAGTTTAGTTTAGTTTTGTTTTTGATGGTTACAGAATTGCTCCTTGTTTTTTAGTTCTTAATGGAACTTTCTAAATGACTTAAAGGGGATTAGTATTTATTTTATTTTAAAAGTTGCTAACATTCATTGAGTGTTTTTATTCTAGTCACTGTGCTTTCCATGTATTATTCATGGAAACCTGTGGTTGGTCTTGTTAAAGCCTCTTTTAAAAAAGTTAAAAATAACCTTTTGTTATTACAAGAGTAATCAATGTACGGTGTAGAAAGTTAGAATATACAGATAAACAAGACTAAGAAGATAAAAATACTATATTCCTGTTGCCCAGGGATGACCATTGTTAACATATCAGTGTAACATCTTTTCTGATTTTTTTCTATGCACATAAGTGTATTTTTCATCTCACCTAATACCCTGGCCATACTCAAATTTCCCCATTTGTCCCCCAAATGCCATTTATATCTGTTTATTCTAAAAGGAAATTCACTGAAGGACTACATATTGCATCTGGTTATCATGTCTTTGGACCTCTTTTAATCTAGCAGAGTCCCTCCCTCATTTTTTGCCTCAAGATACCATCTTGGTAGAGAAACTGGTGCTACAGAGTATCTTACCTCTTGCATTTGTCTGATTGCTTCCTTGTGCTATTTAGTTTATTCCTCTAGCCTCTGTATTTCCTGAAAACTGTAAGTTAGTTCTAAAGACTTGACAGATACAAGTTAAACATTTTTGGCTAGAATTCATCCTAAGTAATGTTGTGTGCCTCTATGTCATGAATGGCATCAAAGATTGGTCATGAGGGTGGTGACATTCTGATCTTTCCATTATGAAGCAAGGTCATGTTACTTCGTCTCTATGCAAATGTCCAAGTTTCTAAATGGTTTTTACACCAATTAACAGTCCTTGCCAGAGTCGGTGATTTCTTTAGAGGTCGTAGAATAATGCCCTGGCTGGTTTGGCTCAGTACTTAGAGTGTCAGCCTGTGGACCAAATAGTTGCAGATTCAATTCCGGTCAAGGGCATATACCTTGATTGCAGTTCAATCCTGGGCTCTGGTTGGGGTCATGGCAGAGGCAACCAATCGATGCATCTCCCTCACTTCAATGTTTTTTCCTCTTTCTCTCTCTGTCTCCCTCCCTCCCACTCTATCTGAAAATCATTGGAAAAATATCCTTGGGTGAGGATTAAAAAAATAGAGGTTGTAAAATAAGGATCTTTTCATTGTGTTATTCCTGCTTCATCATTAGTTAGCAGCCTTCTTCTTAAGGTAAAACTTTGCCTCATCCACTGGGCTATCCATATATCCTGAAGTACCCTTCCCACGGGAGAGGCAGAGTACATGACCATTTTTTTGCCTTAGGTTACCAATTTTTGAATAAAGTATTGCTTTAATAGTCTCCTTAAGTTGGTGAAATGTTCATTTTTTTCCTGTTCTCTCTTTTTTTTTAGTATCATTATCTGAACTCTTGAATTTTCATTAAATCCATGTGTTTCCATTCACTTTAATTATTCGTCTTGCTACTCAAGCTGTTGCCACTGTGGCCAGTGGATGCCCCTTCAATGCAAAACATTGATTTTGGGCAGCGACCTTGCTCTCTGGCGTAACTAGATATCCCACGCTCGCTTTGCACCGCTCCCTACCCCACACCTGGAATCTACCATTTCCCTGCACCCTTCCAGTGAGTGATTGGGTGAGAGCCAGAATTTGGTTGCCAAGGGTTGCTTCTGCGAAGACCCTGTTTCTTGGCAGTGGGCAAAATGAACTAAATATCTTTTCTACAAATGTATGAGTTTGTACTGATATTTTCAAATCAACTTAACATCTACTGTTTTTTCTTAATTTCTTCAATTTTTAATATCTCTTTTCTCTTTCACCAAAAGTGTTTTTACTTGCTTTATCCTATAATATAAAGAAAAGAATTTTAAAATAAGTTGTCTTTTACCCCTCTGGGAGCTGAGGCTTATGAAATTAGCCAAGTGAATATTGCACCACAAAAAAAGATACCCTGTCTTTCTGTTTTCTGTTGGCAAAGCTCCTACTAACCACAACAAACTACTGCTGTTGCCTGAGCCATAAAGCCATTTTTTAATATATCTGATCTATGAAAAATTTTTAAATGTTTGCTTTACCTTGCAAAAATATACAGGGTGGTAAGTTATGATCTTATATTTTTATCTCTGTTATCTCTTTATATAAAATGAAGCTATTACTCATTGTGAGAAGAGATTACAGCCCATGTCTCCTGGACTTTCAGGGAGCTGTGAGTATTTAGATGGCAGTCAGTGGCACCAGAAATTCATTCCAGCCCTGCAGACCCTCATTTCCTTGGTTTATGTACCTTGTTTAAGTGGCTCACTGTGTGGACAGGTTGCCGGGGTGAGCCTGACACAACACCGATGCTGACCCCCCATCTCTGTGTTTACGACACCCATGTCTCTCTGTTCGCAGGTACCTGTTTGCTCTGCAGGTGAAGCAGGACCTGGCTCAGGGCAGGCTGACGTGCAATGACACCAGCGCTGCCCTCTTGATCTCGCACATTGTCCAATGTAAGTTCTGTTGGTTTCCTCTAGGAATCATGTTGGAAATAACACAGCGATCTGATTGACTGGGAGGAAAAATCAGGTCCACTAAAAGCAGTAATGATGTCTTCATGTTCTTTTGCTTGTGAGTGGAAAACAGTACTCCTCATTTCACTTCGTGTGGGTATCCCCCAAACATTGACCCAGGAATTGTGTGTTCTGGTGTTTGCCCTTTTCAAGGCCTAGTGCAATTGTTGACATCTCAGTTATCTCAAAGGAGAAGGTCAGAGGGACGGGGGCTGAGTAGACTCAACTTGTGCTGCCCTTTATCACTGACTAAGGCACTCAGCTGTGAGACAAAGCTGTCAAAGATTTCACTTCTTGTGTTCTGCTTGCTAGAGTTCAGGACACATGAAGCTGGACTGGAACCTAGTGATGCTTGAAAGGAAATATGTTAACTTTCTCAATCTAGACAAAAGATAATTAGATTGTACTCATCGTAAGGTTTATTAACAACCCACCTGAGCATTTATTTCCTCTTGGCCAAGGCATAAATTACTTGGAATACACATGGTATTTCAGGAAGGTAATTATGTGTATAGATGATGCTCAATATATATAAGCACTAGTAAAAAAAATACTGTGCTATCATTTAAAATTTTCCATTGTATATAAAGTAGGTCCCATATAATCAGCCCCATTCTCTTTCAGTGACTGCCCAGTGAGTATGACTTCCAGGTTTATAGGAAATGTCACTCCTAGTGATCAACAGATTACTGAATTACCAAGTTATCTTAGTCTAATATGATCAGGTGTTTCTGTTGATCTTCCTTCCTTTCTTCCATCTTTCCTTATTTTTGGTGGTGGTGGGGTGGTCTGTGGCATTATTGAATATCTACTAGACTTAGTAGAGAGATGTTTTCTTACCAATTTGAAAAACTAATGTGAGAAGAAACAAAAAATGGGTATCCTTTATTAAAACTTACTCCATCCTAGCACTATGTATAGTATCTCATTTAATTATCATAACAACTCTGTGAGATCAGTACTTTTATTATCCCTGTTTTTTTTACAAACGAGGAAGCTTTGGCATAGAAAGTTACATAGCATCTGCCTTTTGTGTCTGGTTTTCCTTCTTCTTACGACTGTGGAGAGGGGAGGGCTTTGAATCAGGCAGACCTGGTTTCTGTTAGTTGATTGATGACCCTGGCATGTTACTAACCACAGGCCCCATAGTTTTTTTTGAACATGAAAATAAGAAAACTCTTCCATAAGGCTGTGAAAATTAAATGATAACACAAATACCCAATACGTGTTAAGTGTTCGGTAAACATATTCTCCTTTCTTTTAAAAAAAATTGTTTTTTCTTTATTGATTTTTAGAGGGAGAGGGAGATAGAAACATCAATGAGCAGGAACATCGCTTGGCCACCTCCTGCATGCCCCCCACTGGGGATTTGGCCCACAACCTGGGCATGTGCCCTGACTGGGAATCTTGGTGCATGGGTCGATGCTCAACCACTGAGCCACACCAGCCGGGCATATTCTCCTTTCTTTACTTTATTCACCAGCAACCCTCCCTTTCCAAACAATGAAAAATTTTTAAATGAAGCTTTGTTATTGGAGTAGTAACTAGTCTTGTGGCTGTTTCTTCCTCCTATGTTTCTTCCTTTTTACAGTGTGTTAACACAATAGGTCCCACTCACCTCATGGGAAGTGGAGGTTCATGGCACTCAGAAAACCATGTGCTTCATTTGATGGGCCCTCTTTCCTAGACACCAGCAAGGAGCTCAAAATTCCCTGAGAATCTTGAGTTCTCCAGAGAGAATGAAAGAGATAGGTTCAAAGGTATGCCTGCTATTTGTATACTATTTATTCATTGAGGGGGCGCACAGTACTTTTATAATCTTCTGATATTTTTTAGCCCCATTTCTGCCATTATAAGCATCCCCTGCACTTAGTCACGAAAGGAGGACTTCCACAATCCTCTGTGACTAGTGTGTTGATTAAACTTATTGATAATTATTTACATTATCTACTAGGAACGAGGGGTCAGCTCAGCTCCCTTTCACAAAAGCTACATTAATGCTGATGGGAAATTATCTCAAGTGAGCTATATGTGTATCTCATGTATCTAGATACACAATCTAAGTTTTAAAAAAAGTTTCCTCTCTTATTTGAACTCATGGAGTTGTCTTTCAGATAGTCTGTATTTTTTCATTTTGTTTCTCTGTCACGGGCCTTATATAGCCCTTGCAATAGTTACAGTTTTTAATTTTCTTTAATTCACGATGAATCAGTTGAGTAGGACAAGCTAATGAAGAATCAATCGCTAGATAGCCATGATGTTTAGAATTCCACTTGGGTAGCTTGGAAGCATGGCAGGGCTGCATTTTCAAGTCGTGTGTGTGTGTCCATGGAAAAGATTACGCGTGGCAGATGGGTCTGTCTAAGCCTATCCTCATGAGGTTTCATTTAGTAAAATCACAGGTTTGGTGGTCTTGTCCCTACTTTTTGCCGTGAGTAGACTGCTTTGGATTTTAGTATATGCATAAGCTACTAGGGCATCTTGACATAAAAAATAATAAGTCATTTCTTGAATATTTGTCAGCTTTCAAACTCTTCATATATAAGGAGGGCCTATTTTAGTATTTCATAGAAGAGAACATGGAGAAGGAAATGAATTTCATAGTTGTGTACTGCCGTTGCATTGGGTGGGCAGTGATAGGCAAGGGGTTAAAAAAAAAGACAGTTAGGTGTATTGACCCTGATGCCAAAGGAAAAACTGGCATGATTAACTCTTCTGTGACACTGAATTGGGGAGAAGAGTGTGTTACAAAATCCATATGCGTTAAGGAGCCCAAACTCACAGCTCACAAGAAATGAGGATTTCGGTGAGTCTCCCATATGCAGTCAGTCTTCTGTACTTGCAAATTCACCTCTTCGATAAAAGTTATTTGAAACCCCAGGTCAGTACTTGTGGTGCTTTCTGGTCATTTGCAGACATGCACAGGACAGTGCAAAGTCTGAGTCGTCCCGGCACACGTTCAGCTGAGCCAGAAAGAGCCGGTGCCCTGCCTCCTGTTTCAGCTCACACCATAAACAAGGCTGCTTTAGCGGTGTGTTTAGTCCACGCTTTTGCATGTTTGAGCTTTCTGTTGGTGATACCCCTTTTTCAGTGGTCCCCCAGTGTCCCGTTGAGCAGGAAGGCTGCGGGTGCCTGTGGAGAGAGCATGCGTACGAGTCAGATGGGCCATGTCCAGCATGAGGGATGGTGCTGTGGGCCACAAGTCCAATGTTGATGAATTGATAATGCGTATAAAACATGATGTCTTTCAACAGAAACACACATAAAACAAGGTCAGTTGACAAAAATGTCATTGCAGAGGTCTCACAGGACCCTAACCCTGTATTTCCCCTGAGAGCAGTGATTGGTATTTGCTAATTCAGTGTTCATGTGGTCTTCATAGAACATAACTACAGTGAAGAATGAGAATGAACTGTACTTTCTTGAGGCCAGACAGAAGTTAGCGCCACCAACATCAAGGCAGCCAGCAAGGATGGCAGTATGGCCAGAGAGGGCCCCCCACTTCTGCACCGTGTTCTGTGATGGAAGGTGGCAATTTATCTAGGGAGGCAAAGTTTAGTCTAGAAAGGGCAGTTAGGATATCGTGTTATTGATATGTGATAGTAGCAGGTAGTGAGAGATGGATTCTCTTAGCTGGTGCCAGGTGAGTTGGCACTGTTTTTTTTTAATCCTCACCTGAGGAAATTTTTCTATTTATCTTCAGATAGAGTGGGAGTGAGGGGGGTGGAGAGAGAGTGAGAGGAAAAGAGAGAGAAACATCGATGTGAGAGGGACACATCGACTGGTTGCCTCCTGCACAACCCGGACCAGGGCTGGAGACGAACCACTACCGAGGTACATGCCCTTGACCAGAATCGAACCTGCGACTCTTTGGTCCACAGGCCAGTGCTTTAAATGCTGAGCCAAACTGGCCAGGGTGAGTTGGCACTGTTTCATGCAGAGAAAATAGTCCCAGTGGGTGAGATTTATGGTAAAGTATGGGCAGTATCCTTCAGGAGTTCTGGTGGGGCCCTGGCTGACCTGTGACAAACCGCTCCGCACGACAAAAGGGAAGGTAGGTTTCATAGCCCCAGTTCACCTGCTTTTACTCAAAACAGCTGGGCGTGTGGTCCTTAGGTTACTTTTTCTTAAGCTTGTAACACAGACTACATGATACAGAGAAAAGGGCATGCTGTCCCAGAGGTATTAACCCGGTACAGAGGGAGCCGGAGCTGTTGTTGCTATGGTACAATTGTTATTTTAAAACCCTTAAACTTCCAGGTTACAGCAACCTGGGGACTATGTTGAGGTTACATGAAAGAAGCATCCTATTTCTTGTAGGTGAAAAATATATAAGCATTTGTAGTCTGACCAGTCATTTCTGATAAGAAGACTACAAGAAATTGAGCAAGAGGTACTTTAAAAAAAAAAATCCAGATTACATACCTTCATACTTATGCACAATTGTCTTTTCTCTACATGATCCCACGTTTGGGGTTTTCACTGATCATCGTCATATATAAGGCTTTCAAAAGTTGGTTTCGTAAAGTTCTGAATTTTGGGGGTTTATTTCAAAGTTATGGGTCAGAAGCCATGTCTCGAGTTACTGCCTAGAAGAGAAGTGAGCCCTAGTTGGGTGGGGAGGAAGGAAAGAAAGCCCAGCACACACGGATGGCTAAAGATGGGTGATTCTGAAGTTTGTTTCCCAGCTGTTAGCGATGAGGAGCGCAAGCCTCATTTTATGTTGGAACAGTTGTTGAATGTGTCCTCACGTCCACATCTGACATCCAGCCCTTGTGACACCCACCAGCTGGGATCACCTGATGTTGTCAGCTAGCTTCCGACTTGCTAGCTGGGGAACATTCCCCCGGGAATAGAACAAACTGTGGAGTATTAATCATATGGGCTGGTTTTTCTTTCCCTGTCTCTCTGTAGCTGAGATTGGGGATTTTGACGAAGCATCAGACAGAGAACACTTAGCAAAAAATAAGTACATACCTCAGCAAGATGCACTAGAAGACAAAATTGTGGAATTTCACCATAACCACATGTAAGTAGTCTGTGAGTTGGCTTACGTTTCCTTTCCGCGGTGTGTCTGTCCTTCCGTCGTAGTGTGGGTGCACACACACAGACAGACACGGTGATGACTGGGAAGAAATATGCAAAGGGAGAAGAGCACAGAGTCTCACAGGGTGGTACTCATCTCGAACTCCCAGAAATGCAGGTTATCCCCTCAAAACCAGAGCTCTGGGCCTCCTGGCTTTACTAACTGTGAGACCGGAGGAACACTGGAATTTTAGGACAGCCCATGCTTTGGAATAAAAGGGAGAGTATAAGACCAGTTAATAGGAAATTGGGAAAGCGACATGGTACACTAGGGACAAAGAAAGAATGTTGTGGGAATCTAGAACCTTTGTGCCATCTGCACTTGGGGTTTTTTTTGTTCGGATCAGGCAAACAGTCTCAAAGGCTTCTCTGCCTTTTGTTTGTGTTGGTGTTTTAAGGAGGGCGCTTGAGTCCTGATGAGAATAGGAGAGAATGGTGCCTGGAACTTTGCAAGTTTAGGTCTATTGTAAGTGACTAAAAACATGTTTTAACATGATGGTGTTTTGCTTTTATATGACCTTTGAGATTCAGAAAAAAAACTGGTCAAGTTGGAGATAGACTTTGGGGTTTTGTGTTAACACACGCAATAGAGTTTTTGTTCTAGCTGCTCGACTTTGGGTTGTAATGAATGGGAGGTTGGGTGGCATCTGATCTGGTAGCCCCATTGTTTGTGATGAAGTGCCCTTTTATTTCCCAAGAGAAGCTCCTTAATCTCAAATTAATAGACACGGGGAATTCAAATCTCCTGGCCTTTCTCTTTAATTTTTGTTTTGCCAGTGGACAAACACCAGCAGAATCGGATTTCCAGCTCCTGGAGATTGCCCGTAGGCTGGAGATGTATGGGATCCGGTTGCACCCAGCTAAGGACAGGGAAGGTACTAAGATCAACCTGGCTGTTGCGAACACAGGAATTCTAGTGTTTCAGGTAAGAGCATTTAGAACACAGCTCAGTTCCCTTGGCGATGGAGAGATTGAGAGTCGGCCCTCGCACTCTGAGTCCATGCTGGGTGGCCCACGCTAAGACCTCTGATAGTTATTTTTAGGTGAACAGGGAAAAACGAACCTCATCTCAGGGCTTCTAGTTGTTTCCAGCCACTCAGCTTCCATGTTCCGTTTTATTTGCTCTGGTTGGGAAATCCACTGTTACAGGTGTGTTTGTTTGCATTTGTTTACTTGTAGGGTCACAGAAATCTGTATCTCTCCATGGACCTGTCCTTAGAACATGTATAATGGGATCAAGCATTTAGACTCCAAAATAACCTTTTCACCCTTGCATGTGATAGCCATGTGATCCTTTCTTTTAAAACCTAGTTTGGGCCCTGGCCGGTTTGGCTCAGCGGTTAGAGCGTCGGCCTGCGGTCCTGAGAGACCCGGGTTCGGTTCCCACTAAGGGCACGTACCTTGGTTGCAGTTTGTCCCCGGCCCTGGTCGGTCGTGCGGGTGGCAGCCACTCGATGTGTTCCTTTCACATCGATGTTTCTCTCTCTCTCTGTTCCTCTCTCCCCCTCTCACTCTATCCGAACAAAAAATGGAAAAATGTCCTCGGGTGAGGATAAAAAAAATAAAATAAAATAAAACCTAGTTTGGGTTTTATATAAACTTATCTCCGATATCAGATTTACCTGACTTAAAAAGAAAAGTGTAGTATCCACTTATAAACTAGAGCAGTTTCATAAATTTATAAAAGCCGTGTCTGTACTGCATTAATTTTGCAGCAGGACACACACAACCCTTGGATGGATCCCCATGTTTTCCTTGAAGACCTGATTTCCTGCCCTCTGAAATGTGTGCTCTCCCGATCACTCTGCTTTTGTCCTGTTTTATTGATTGATGTTTCTCTTTCTCTTAAGAGCTTCACTGACATATTATTGACATGCAATAAAATGCACATATCTAAAGGGTGTCCTTTAGTTCTTCTGTGTATATCCTGTGAATCCATCAGTGAAGTCAAGACAATGAACATAGTCACCAACCCCTCAAATTTTCTCAGGGCTTTTCTTTGAAACAAAAGTAGGTAATCTGTGCTTTGGTTCCAGGCGGGTGTGGAGAAAGCATCTGCCTTTCTCATGACATAGATCAGATGTCACCTTTTTGAAGGTGTAAAATGTGTGCATGACCAAAAGCTTTCTTTAGCTGTGCCAGGCTTGGTTACATTTCCCCCTTCGTATTTTACCAAGACAGCCTGAGTCTCTGCTCCTACATCAGCTGTGTATGATGGACACTAATGATCACAGCCCGTGTCCCAGGAAAGGAGTTCAGGGCTGGGGTCACGGGGAGTGACGTGTTGAGAGCAGTGTGGTGTTTGGGGAGGTGACCCCCCCTAACAGTTTTGGGCCTGCAGAAATTATCTAGGAGTACCTGATGACAGAAACGACAATAAACTAAGTGTAGTTTTCAGGACTACCATTATATTTCAAAATTAGAAACATTTCTAAAAGTCATAGAGGGAGAAAGAAGGGCCTCACAGTTGTATCAATTTGATTGTATTTGATACGGTCTAAATATTGAGAATTGCTCGGTAATTGAATCAGGTACAAAGGCTGTATCTTGGAATTAATCTTCTCATTGGTACCTAATTGCTTCATTTTTAACCGACTTAAATGAGTGGTCCTGGTGTTCCAATGGAGGAATTCTAGTTTCCGTTGCAATGACAGGACAGATGGGATCTGGTGTCTGGCAACTCTCCCCCACCCGGTTTCTGCACCGTGTCCCAGATGGCTGTATAAAGATGAGGAGGTGTGGTCCTTCTCAGAGACTGTTCTCTGGCCTAGAAGACACTGGGAAGCCCCACCCCCATCCCCCACCCTGTCCCGGGAGCCAGGCCGTGTGGACAAAGGGGAGATTGCTAACCTGTGGTGCTGCTCCTGTGGATGTGAACAGCTGCTGGCTAAGGCGCATGCCCGGAATCATTCTGCCACATTTCACTGTGTGATTCTAGCCACATTAAAATATATCCATGCTGCAGTTTCCACACGTAGACAATGAAGATATGAAAGCTGGCTCACTGGGTTCTGTGTAAGGTTTGATAAGGTCTGTTAAGCCCTTCGACCAGTGCCTGGCACACTGTAAGTTTGATTGCCAGTTACTGTGGTGATTGTCATGGTTTTTATTTTTATTTATCTTTCTTTTGTCGTTCCCTTGGTCAGCCTCTTCCCTCCCTGGAGGCAGTCTTAGTTGGAATGCCAAATTGTGTAATTAGTGAGAAGGAATGATGAGGAAGCGGATCGCCCCTCAGCTGAGGGTCGTGGATTCCCCAGCAGAATGCCTCTCCCGAGCCCTCGAACATCAGCCCTCCTTGTGGTTTCCATAAGCAATGCACACAAACTCCCATGTTGCTTATTATGCATTTTCCGGCTCACTGGCTGATAACCTTTCTTCTTAGGGTTTCACGAAGATCAATGCCTTCAACTGGGCAAAGGTGCGGAAGCTGAGCTTCAAGAGGAAGCGCTTTCTCATCAAGCTCCGCCCAGATGCCAATGTAAGTGGCTCCCAGGAGAGAGGGGGAGACCCGCCGAGCCCACCCTGTGAGCCCTGGGACGGCGTGGGCCCAGCTAGGGCACAGACTGAAACTGGCCAACAGCCATTCAGGTGTCTGAGTGTCGTACGGAGAGATGTACCCAAATGCCCGGTCACTCCGCAGCTGTCCCTGTTGGCAGACAGAAGCTAAAGGAGGTATCGTGGGTGTGTGCCTGGGAGAGGGTCAGTACTTGTGCAGACACCCGCAGCCCCTCCCGACGGACTCCCTGAGCCCTGTCATTGCTGCATCTCTGACCTCTGAGCCACCTCGACCCTATTCAGCATTCCGCCCTATTCCAGGCATGTCCCCACCCACGCAGCAGCAGGCCCCAACTCAAGTCCCTGCTGTTGTCCCCAACCTCTGACAGCGTGTTCTCACGAGCCAACCAGGTCCCCTTCCCACAGAACCCCTACAGATGCCGCTTCTACTGGGACTGGGTCAGGGGAGGAGATGGATAATATATCACTGATGTCCCCAGCCAGTACTTAGAGTGCTTTTTCCCATGGAAAAAATGTTATAAATGGAAGTCTAGGCTTATAGTTTAGCTACAGTATGGATTAAATAGGCTTTTATGGCCTGACCTCAGGAGCAGGCACCCATTATAAGTTGTTTTCTGTGGGAAAATGCATTTTGAGTTCCAAAAGGCTGATTTACACATAAAAAATCACAGCACAACTGATTTGTAAGCTGGGACTGCACTGCCCAGAACTGTGAGGTCCTCCAAACAGTTGGAACTTGTATTTATATAATGTAGCCACTTAAATTTGGGGCATGAAGTCTAGGACTGTAAAATTATCTTATCTCCTTTCTAGAATCAAAGGACATGAATTTTTCAGCCTTGAGTGATACTTTTGTGTTCCAGGAAAAAAAAGAAATTCATTTCCTGTATGGTCCCTGGAGCCACCTGGAGGCTTGAGCCATATGCTTTTTGATAGAGGAGAGACTTAGACCAATGTTGAAAGTTGACATGAATCATGAGGGAGAAAACAGAAAGAAAAATTGTTGCAGTAATTTTAAGGAGGCAAAAAAAGAATTTCAGTACTTGGATTGTATTTTTTAGAAGGAAATGTAAACCAAGTAAACACAATTTATTTATGAATTTTGTCAAAAGAAATGTTACGGTTTTTGCTGAGTACCCCTGGTTTCTCCAAGGAATTCTGTGGGGAAGAAAATGGTTGAATGATAACTAGATTTTATCATTAAGAACAGCTCTGTTTTACTGAATATGTGAATATATGGCCATGCTATAATAAAATACACAATTGAAATTTTAGTGGACAACTTTGTTTTCTGTCCCTTTTCTCATTTTTCATTTCTCTAAGGGTAACGGAAAAAAACCAGTGATATTTTCCTTTTTTAGAGCTCATACCAGGATACCTTGGAATTCCTAATGGCCAGTCGGGATTTTTGCAAATCCTTCTGGAAAATCTGTGTTGAACATCACGCCTTTTTTAGACTTTTTGAAGAACCCAAACCAAAGCCAAAGCCTGTGCTCTTTAGTCGAGGGTCATCATTTCGGTTCAGGTAAGGATTCGGCTTCCACTTCACTTGCCATACAAACGCTTTCCCCAAGACTTCCCTTGTGCTAGTGCCTAACGCTACTGCTGGGCCGGACAGCGAGGCGCTAAGGTCAAAGTCAGACTCCGGGAGCTGAGGGGCTGTTTGCTCCGTCAGCCCAGCCAGCTCCTTGGCAAACCCTTGCTGTGTTCTGTTTGAACGTCAGGCAGGAAGCAGTCTACCTGGCCACGGGAAACTCTTCCTGGGACTCCCAAATTCAGAAAGGATTTTTTTCTCCGTAGAAGCAAAAGCGTCTTACTAACATTCGGTGTAGCTTCTTAGAATGCTACATAGACTTGCCCATCATCGGGTCACTTTTCACTCTTTCAACACTTTGAGTGCCTACTGCATGTCAGATGTTGGGGAGATAGGGTGCACAAAACGATCCCTGCCCTCACAAAGCATACAGTCTCAGGATGTTTGCCTAATAACCAAACACAGAATTACGTGGTTTAGTTAATTGAGCATTTTCTTGTATTTTTAAGGGAACTATGAAGAGGTAGAATAGCCACAAAAACGGGTTTTCTTAGTCTGCTTTTACTGCTGGCTAGCTGAGAAAACCCCCGTGTCTCCCCGAAATGGAGGAGGGAAGTGAGGATGGTGGGGTGTCGTGTTGTGTGTTTAAATGAGAATGCCTTGCTGTCCCCCCCTCTCCTCTCACGGTCTTCATTTCAGCGGCCGGACTCAGAAGCAGGTTCTCGACTATGTTAAAGAAGGAGGACATAAGAAAGTGCAGTTTGAAAGGTAAGAGGAACTTCAAGTGCTGCTTCCGATACAGAGGAGGCAAGTCCTTCCCTCCAGGTACTGGTGCAGCTGCTCTGTGTCTCCACAGCCAGGCTTGGCGAGGTAGAGTTGACGCTCAGTCACCCGGCCAGTGTAGCGTTAGGCAGGAACATTGGAGGGCCCGGGGGCATTTCTTTGAGGGTCAGAAGAATGGACTGAGAGAACCAAGTGAGGAAGAAGAGGGACAAGCCAGAAGAGGGCAGAGAGGGAATACCAGGAAGTTATGGTGGGGATACAGCGCTGTAAACACTCATGATAGATTCTTAACTATTTGGGGGTTTGAATTGAAAGTATTTTTTGTTGTTGTTAATCCTCACTCGAGGATATTTTTCAGAGAGTGTGGGAGGAAGGGAGGGAGGGAGAAAGGGAGAGAGAGAGAGAGAGAGAGAAACACCTATGTGAGAGAGAGGCATTGATTGGTTGCCTCCTGCATGACCCCAACTGAGGTCAGGGATTGAACCTGCAACCCAGGTACATGCTCTTGACCGGGAATTGCACCTGAGACCCTTTGGTCCATGGGCCAATGCTCTAACCGATTCATCAAACCAGCCAGGGCAAATTGAAAGTATTTTTATAAACTTTTTAATTAAATAAAGTTTGGAGCAGAAGAAACAGGGTTTATTATTGCTGTTGTTAGCAAATGTTTATTGCTCTCACATCCCAGGCATTGTTCCAAGCGCTTCACATATTAATTCACAGTCTTGGTACCCATGTATAAGGCCCATGCTGTCTCACTCCCTTTTAAAGGTGGAGACCCTACAGCTCAAAGAGTGTGGGTAACTAGCCCAGGTCTCCCAGCTGGGAAGCGGCCCTGGGCCACTGGCTCTGGAGCCCACCAATCCTGAGCTGCTCTGCCTCCCAGACAGGGAGAAGCAGAGGACCCCGAGGGACTAAGAGCTAAGGGTAAAGGTGTGGGTGATGGTGCTCCAGGGACTGTTCACAGTGCATGTTTTTTTAAAAAAAATATTTTTCATTTTAATACATTTCAAAATTACAATAAAGAACAGAGAATACAACAGACACCCATATTCTTACTAGTTAGGTTTAACATTTTAACATATCTGTTTCTGGAGTCTGTTTCTTCGTTTATCTGTTGCTATTACAGATGTGGTCTTCTTACCAACAACCTTCCTTTCGCCCTTCTCCCCTCCCCTGAGGCAGCATCTGGCTAATTCATCTTCCTCCTATTGCACATCTTCATGCAGCCAAAAAGAATATGTAGAACTGCTCTGGGGTGTGCTTTTTCATTTATATAAGTGGTATCACACTACATAATTCTGCATCTGGCCTTTTAAACCTCACCCTGATTTTGAAATTGTTTTACATGTTTTTTGGTATTTGAGGGTACTATATTTTATTTATCTGAATCCTTATTGGTAAACATTTGGGTTGTTGGCATTTTGCTTTTGCTGAGACAAACCTGCTGCTGTGACCATCCTGTGTATTTCTCCTGATGCGGGTCTGGGTCGTTTCTCCCTCCCTGTACCCAGAAGTGTGGTGTTCGGTGGGTTGCATGCTCACCTCGATAGGACAGGCCCAATGGTTCTCAACCTTCCTAATGCCTCAACCCTTTAATACAGTCCTCATGTTGTGGTGACCCCCAACCATGAAATTATTTTCGTTGCTACTTCATAACTATAATTTATGTCTTAGGCGACCTCTGTGAAAGGGTCGTTCGACCCCGAACGGGGTCGTGACCCACAGGTTGAGAACCGCTGGCAGCCCCATGATTTTCTAGGATAGTCCATCATTAATCTTTTGAGGGTCACAGAAGTGGTCCAGTTCTGTCTCTGATTCAGACTGTGGGTGTTCTGGAGCTTTTGAGTGTTAATTTGAAGAAAAGCTGGGTGTGCATTAGAATTTAATTTTTCTATGTTTATACAGTTTCATGCATTTGAGCACCTGAAAAGTTTTTAATGCTTGTTCACTGGGGAGGAGGGGACGGGTAGACTAAGGAAGGGAAGGGTAAGGAGAGGGTTGGCCTCAAAGACAATTCCTTCTACCGTGGAGTCTATAATTCGTTCACAGGGCAGGTCTTCTCTGAACTTAACACTGAAAGAGTTAGCTGATTAGTAGTAATTGCCCCTGATATAGAACTAATCAAAAAAATCATTACCCCAAAAGCGTGACTTTATTTCATATTGTTAGACCATAGCTTGCAGTTCAGAACATATGTGGGCCCCCAACTTCTCCCTTCCAGTATTTTTCCCATAAGTAGACAGTTTGTGCCCCATTACCGGGCTCCTAGCCGGCTGGACTCCTTGAATGAGAGCAAGGGATTGCTGAGAACTTTCTCGAGGTTTGAGGACTCCCTGGAACCGACAAGAGTTATGGGAAGGGAGACTGGGTCTGTTTCCAGGGAGCATTTATTCCAATGACTTTGGGTGCCCTCATTTTTGAGGAAGTGCCTAATGTTGTTATTTTTCATTAAGAAAAAAAAAACACAAAAAACTCATCTAACTCTAGTTGTCTTATGTGTTTTCTCCAAGGAAACACAGCAAGATTCATTCCATCAGGAGCCTTGCTGTGCAGCCCACAGAGCCGAATTCAGAAGTGCCAAAACAAGTCAGTAATGGTGATGCGCTCTTAGAGCCCTGCTTCCCACCGACTTCCTCTGCTGGGTTCTGTTTCCATAGCATGCTTTCCAGTCCTTCGCCTCCACCTCCGAGGGTCTTGTAGAGTCCAGTGTGTGCCCTGACCTTGAGCAGATACATGCTCTGTGCACTGCGCACCCCCCAGCCTGGGCTCGGTGGCTGGAGTGTGTCCTTTTTCAGCTGACTTCCCATCCTCCCTCCCTCGCTCTTGCCATGGAGAAGCTCGCTCTGTTGGCCTGAACTCAGCTGAGGGGCGGAACCTCCCATGGGAGCCAGTAGAGCAGAGCCCAGCCTCCAGCTGATGGGTGCGCTTGTGTGAAGAGATCGGGACCTGCTTTGCAGCCGATGGGTGTAGCTCCCCTTCAGTGCCAAGGTCAGAACCTTTCGCTGGCACTGGACCGGGTGGTGAGCTCCCAGGGCTCGTGTTACAGGGCAGTGACCACAGTTGGCCACAAGTCACATTATCACTCTTGCTGTGTGGGCGGCAAGAGCTCATTTTCCCTGCAGTTGGTCTCTGGAGGGGTTTTCAGGGTTTTCTCTATAAGAGAATAAGAACTTTGTTGGGAAAAAACATGAAGGAGATTTCATTGTGTGAATCCAAAAAGAGCCCTCAACCTGTTCGTTCTAGTCTTAGAAGCGTAAACAAAGACGTGTTTTGTCATTTATCTGAAATCCGTGTCAGCGGGCCTTCTGGGGTCCTTCCTGCCCCTGCTCACACTTCCTCGGGAAGCACTTGGCTGAGACGGGCTCCCAGTATGAGACTGAGGGTCCCAGAAAGCAGAGACACTATCTAACTGGTGCTGCTGGGGACCCGGCGTCGTCAGCTCCCACCCCTGGAAGAACTTTCTGGACACTGACGCGCCAGGTGCCCGCTTCTTGCCAGAGCTCTGTGCTGACACTATGGAGCAGCCTTTACTTGTTACTAAACTAGACTCTGGGTCTCTCGTTCCCCCCCCCCCCCGCTCTGGTGTAACCGGCTGCCTTTTCTCTCCGATCCCTCATCCTTGTCCGGCCCCCTCCCACCCAGGCCCAGCAGAGTGCCAGCCTCGCTCTCGGAGAAGGTGCTGACTCCCCCGGGGACCAGAGCAGCCAGCAAGGGAAGGAACTGCAGGTCTCCGCCGAGGAGTGTGCGCTGCACCAGAGCCCCTCTCTGCAGAAGAGCCCAGTGGGCAACAAGGCGGCAGATGGAGCTGCGAAGGCGGCGCCGGAGGAAGAGGAGGCGGCCGTCAAGGACAGGACCCAGCAGAGCAAACCGCAGCCCCTGCAGCCAAGCACAGGTCCAGCATCCAGGGCTGCTCGCGGCAGCAGCACTTCTATCCCTTTCATTGACTGCAGTGATGTAGATAGTGAATACGACCTTCTCAGGGAACAGACGTCCCAGTCTCGGTCCCAAGCAAATGACAATTATGAGGGTGATTTGACCAGTGGTGTGTATCTGCTCTCCAGGGAGGAGAGGCGAATAGAAGCTAGGCACAGGGCTTCCCCTCACTCCGTGAAGTCCTCCCGGCCTCCTTCCAGAGAATTCCTTGATGACGATTCAGCAGACATAACCTTTGACGTGAGCGGGAGCCCCAGGCTCCCGAGGCATAGCTCTCTGATAGATGAGATGTTCAGGGGCTCAGGCAGTCACAGTCCCCTGGCCACGCCCTTGTCTCCCAGCAGCAGAAGTTCAAGTCCAAATATGAGTTGGGACAGGACTGGGTCTCAAGGCTATGTCTCCGAAAATGGACATGACCCTAGAGAGAGAAGTCTGGGGGAAGATGCTCTCCCCAGCCAGGATCCTCATTATGAAAACTGTTCCCCCGTTTTACAAAGGCCATACTTACGAAATCTTCCCAGTAGATATAATAAGTCAGAGACAAACCCACTCATCCTTAGCCAGGTGGCATCGATCCCGGAGGCAATGGATAGGCTTGATGGCCATGAAAAGGGAGAACTGGCCAACCTGGCTGATTCAGAAGGTCAAATGCTGGCTAATGGGACCCCCCTCCTGGGTCCCACCTCCAAGGTCCCCATCGTGCAGTCAGGGTGTGCCAGTGGCATGGTGGACCAGCTCGCACCCCTGCAAATGACCGAGGGTTCCACCAGCAGCGAGACTGAATCCAGCGATTCAGACCCGGACATGAGGAGCCCTTTGAGCCGGCCCCTCGTGTTCGGTAATGCGGCAGTGCTGAGCTCCCCGGCCATGCTGAGAAGTAGGAAGCCCTTGGGTGGCCTGCATGTGAGCGAGGAGGAAGAGGAGGACGAGTGAGGAGACCAGAAGGCACCTCTTCAAGTGCCGGGAACCTGGAGTCACGAGGCCAGGGTTTCCAAGGGGGAATATCTCTTCTAGGGACTTGTTAAGTTTTAATCACCATTTGTTAGAGGAAGTTTTAGACAGATACATGGTTGGATGGGGCATGCCTGACTCCTGAAACCGTTCAGAATCATAAAACTTCACACAGTGGCTTGCTTTCCGAAAGAAGTGGACAAGATGAGTAGCAAGTCGTAACGACAAGTTACCAGGCGCTTGGGGTTGAAGGCTAGAGAGAGGGAATACTTCATTAGGAAGCTGATCGTGCATATAGTATGTGGTGTTTATGTGGACATTTTCCGTGCATGTTTAATTTTGTATGCAGATCACCCTCCTATTTTCGGAGTGTCATTGAGATCCAGAAAGGTGTTTTACTGCCCCCCACCCCTGCCTTCTTTAAAGGAGGGCTGCTTTTCTGTGCCTCATCAAGTGAAGAATTGACCAAATCCAAGGTCACGTGTAAGTTGATTGTTAGTTGAGATTAACTGCTGGTGAAATCTTAGTCAAGAGTAATGAATATTTTAATCGGAAGACTTCAGATGAAATGGCACAAAGATGGTCAAATCTTCATGAGCTGTAATTTACGTGGGATTGCTGGTTTGGTTTGGATTTGCATTGGTGGGTCATTGTACCTCTAGCCGTGAAACAGAAATGCTGTTGAGTGATGATGCAGGAGGAAGGCAGGCCCTGGTCACCAGGAGGTGAGCAGACGAGATGCCTGCCTTTGAATTGGGCACAGCACAGAGAAGGACTGCTGTCCAGTGTCACCGCCCTCGGTGGGTTTCATGCGCATTCTGAATGTTCACACTCTTGTGAATAGTGTCTTTTCTCGGGAAGTGACTTTGGATGTTTCTGTGTGCAGGAAGAAAGAAAGTGGAAGTAGTGAGAAGTCTGATTTCTTTTTAATCATGCCCACCTAGACCAGTGCCTTGTGGCCAGCATTCTTGCATTTTAGATAGAAGAGTCTGGTTTTAACTTGCATTGTTTCTTAGCCTGGGCTGCATATTTTTAAATTAGTGATGCCTGGAATTTTGATTTAATTGGTCTGGGGGGCCCCAGAGGCCCCCCAGATGGTTCTGCTAGGTAGCCAGCAGTCACTTCTCAGCCAGACACAATTGCCTTCTAGAATCTAGTGGAATATGTTTAAAATATCAGCTGAATTTTGGCTTGCCTACAGAGTAAAAGAAGCATCACAAATGAATTTTTTAATGCCTGTTGTTTGGTACTTTTCAGTCTTTGGTATTTTGATATAAAGATGAATTGTAGAATCAAAATTTTAGATACTAAGTAAGTACAAAATGATTGAAAAGAGTGGTAAGAAGGATATGTCCCTGATGTGCCGCCACACCAGTGGCCTTGCTGAATTCATCGCGTGACTCAGAGGACACGCTGAGCCTGTCTGGGAAACTGAGTAGAATTTGGCAGCAACATGTCACCAAGAGAAGTATCGACTGACCTTGTGGTTCACAAGTGATTATCTCTCTACCTGAATGTCACGAAGTTGATTGTAAGGATTCTGAGAACTTAATCCATTTGTATAGAAACTTTGGTTTTCTCTTCCTAATCATTTGATTCAGTGCATGATTGATGAATCAAAGTGATCATTGCCTAGTTGGAAAGGTGTTCATTGAAATAGTCTTTTTATGCCTTGCTTTAGATTTATATACTTAACAGAGTCACAGAATTTTAAAACTAGAAAGGACCTTAGAGATCACCTGGGGCAAACCTTTATTTTCTGGGTGAGAAACCTTGTTCTGATCAAGTTAAGAAACTTCACCTGGTCCTACAGCTAGTGGGTGACAAAGCTAGAACCTTGTCCCCAGACTTCTGCTTTTTACTTGATGTGACCTCTTGATGCAGTAGGACCTTTTTGAGTCAGTATTTTAGTTTTGGGGAAATCTTGTGTGGATTAATGATTAAAATCATGTGGAGACCAGGAATCCTGTAGACTTAGGCACTTATAGTTCACACTAGATAGGAAGAACTACTGTTGTTTATACTATGGGATTTTTGCAGTTATAACATGTTTCTGCATATTCTCTTTGGACTTAGAAAAAGGTGTCATTTTACTGTATAAAAATCTAGTCAAATGTGAGTTAAGCAGAGTCATATTTGCAAACCTGTGGTTTATTTGTGAAGGTGATTTGTTCAAATGAGTTTTCTTTTTACCTCTAACTAGACAGCAGTCTGATAATGAAATATGAATGAGTAAAAGGTACTCAGCCTGTGATGTGAATCATGAAATGTAAACCTCCAAAGCAAAACAGGCTCCAGTCATTTGTTTTGCTTTCTCCTCAAGAAGTGAGTTGAAAAGCAGCGGATAACAGTGGAGTACTCGGTTATTTTCCACTTTCAGGGTTGCTCGTCGAATTTTTCTCGGGTTGGTTTGGTACCAGCCAAGCAACTCAGTTTCTGCTTCTTGGCCAGTATTTACAAAAGCAACAATCCTGGTATGATTAATGGTGCTTAAAAGGGAGTGGGTGCAGTTTGTTCAAAAGCCACCGACCCTGACGTGCTGGGAATATTCACTAATCACCCGTGGAGTTCTCCCTGCACTAATCAATTCCCAGCATTCTTTGGTCTCTCACTGCGCAGATCAGGGAAAGCCAACGGCCTCCACCCTCCCACCTTCCATGCCCCTGATCTTTTTTGCAACTCTGGTCCCCAAATCTTCACCTGGCCCCCGGAATCTCTCTGTGTGGCTTAAGGAGGGTGTGCACATGCGTCAAGTTGAAGTAAGAGTGTGGGAAGATCAGAGAGGGGGTTGGGTGTGAAGAATAGACAACAGAGGTTAGACACCTGTGAATTCTTTCAGATTTCCAGAGGGTTTTCCAAGATCTGTCAGCGAAGTTTTCTGAGACATGAGCTAGTGGAGAGAGGTCTTCACATACGGCTGCTGGTGAAGTGATATCATAAGGCCTTGAATGGAAGACAAACCGTATACAGAAACAGAAACCTCCAAGCCACTCAGGGCTTATCTTTGGTTAGATAGTATTTCAAAATTGTGCAGTACAGACCCTTATGTGGTTGATTTTGTTGCTGCTTGTTCGGGGCAAAATAAAAATGCAAGAAATTATCTTAGCATGAAGAAATGCATTTAATGAGTTCCAGAATTTAAAATGAGTTGCTCCAGCTCCTTTACCAGTCATCTGTATTCCATTGACGGTATTTTATTAGACGGACATTTAATTAAAGGAAGTCTGTGGGCCAGATTCTTCCCCACATATGTGATTCATATCTGGGAATTTCTCACAGATTTATCTCACCAAATTGTGCCATGTGGCCTGCACTTAAAATGTGAATAATTCCAATGTTATTCTTAAGAACATCTTTGAAGATTCAAGTCATGCAATGCTAAAAATAGCTAGGCCTGGAAAACTAAAATTCAGCATGCAAGTCATGAAATTTCCACCAAGCACACAAAATCCAGCCCGTCCTCAATTGAATCAGAAACTCAACTTGAATTATTAGCCCTGGATTTATTTTTTTGTGTTGCCAAGCAGTTTCTGAAAAAAGAAAAAAATTAAAATATTAAACTGTCCCTTTGTGTTAAAAACATTGTGAATGGATGTACAGCTCTTTTTTTCATATCTGTGATCAGTGTTTATGTGCTTTTAATCAGCTTTTTCCACTTCAAATGTTAGTTCATAGTTCAGTACAGACTGAGTTTTGCAGTTGTAGCCATTAATTAGTGTGAGTAATTGGGCTACTGGGAGGCCCAGCCTTCAATGAAGACATTTGGGGCTCCCTTCATTGTTAGTTTTATTTTGAGTGTATTTGCTTCTATCTCGATCACTCTTCTTTGCCTAGGTCCTTATTCTGTTTTTGGTACATGCCCCTAGAGGGAACCGAACCCCGGACGCTGGTCCACAGGCCAATGCTCCAACCGCTGAGCCAAACCGGCCAGGGCAGGTCCTTATTCTCATTCGCCAGCATTTAAAGAGATCACAGAGTTGCCTTCCCAGGAAAGGCTATTCTCCCTAG